TAACATTGCGTAGACATGCCACTACGCAGTTTCCATAGCTACATTTATTCGCACAAGAATTTTGTCTCGACCACAGATATATATGACAACCTAAATCAAGCTATAATACAGGTGACGAGGTTTATGTGAACGTCAGCCTATCTAGAGGTGACACCTCATAGTTTTCGTGTTTTCCTGGCTTGCATACTTGCTCACAGGCTGTTCGTTAAATAAGAAATTACATATATAGATTTTTAGGCACACATCTTGGAGAACAAATTAATTTGAATGAAGCAAGCAGGATAAGCAGGATTAGCTAAAGAACACAAAGACGTGTGCGGCAAAGCAAACTTGTTAATTGAGTAACAAAAGGTATATATATATATATAAATATATATAAATATATGTGTGTGTGTGTGTTGGCCATGCACACACAGTTAAGCCTGCAAATATCTTCTTTCAAATCTGTACATGTATGTATGTTTGCAGTTACTGCAAACAAAGTAACTCCAATAACATCATAAATACATGTATATATATATACATTGCTCAAACGTATTACATATCTTCAGTGAATCATTACCAATTACAGAAAATATATAACCGATAGATACACTTTACAATCCTTTATGCACAACTACAATACAAACAGCACACATGTTGGACATACTCACGAATTTTCAAATGTGACCGTAACGTCATCTTCGTGCAACCGCCTAACGAATGCCTGAATAAATAAAAAATATAATAGAATTCAGTTAGCCAATCATTAACAGTATATAGTCAAAAACATAAACACCTAAAAACACACGTATCCACGGTATGAGTGCATAGTCAATTGCGTTGTCTATTTACCGCCAGGGGAAATAATCTAAAATGCATTACACACAAATTGTGCAGACTTGATACTTAATGGTGCTGCTAGAAATTTGTAATCTTTGGTGAGTACGGTAAAACTTAGCCAGCATCTACAGGACAAGATGCTTGCCGGATGTCACAATTTTCTAGATATTAGAGCGTTCTATGGTAACATACGTTAATGGACACTCGATTATTGATGTGCGATTGCGTACTGCATTCATGCTCAGCCGGTAATAATATATTTATCTTTATCGTGATAATAACAATCAAAGAGTAGATAAAGACTCAAGTTTCGCTTTTGGTATTGCAATCTATACAATTTTAATAGCTTTACTTGAATCAAATGAATCAGTTTCAGAATAAACTGCGTGCCACCAGGGTTCGACACTAACCCACGTCCGACCGACCTAGTCGGATAAATGCTTGGTCCGGTCGCATACAACCAGAGTGCTAGTAGCCCGACTGGTCGTGTTAGAATTGGTCATATATATTGCACTGAAAGGTCACCTCTGGATAGACTGGTTCGCGGCCGCACTGTTTGTCGCAGAGCGTGTACATTGTCTAGCAGAGCGTGAGGCCGGATACCAGTCTACCCTTCGGCAAAAACAATTATGTGGCTTCCTGCCAGCCGCAGTAGATGATCGATAAACCGAGCACTCGTGTATATGCCCGTGGTAGAATACGAATGCTGCACGTGAACTCGGCGAACGCGCAATTTAAAGCGCGGGAAACAGCATCTATGAATTCATACGATGACACACTCTTATCTAAATTAGGTTTTTCATAACAATGGTCTGGGTCTGGGCTAGTGAAATTTAGGTCAGGGCTAGTGGTTTTCCTCAGTTACTAGCCTGATGGTCTAGTGAAATAAAAAGTTAATGTTGAACCCTGGCCACTAGCCTTCTCAAATATTATTAGGAGAAGAGAAACATAACAGTGTTAGGATGTTTCACAGAATATAAATGCCCGGTAAACGTTCAAGGAACAAAAACTGAAATTTCTACTACTAGTGCTAGCTAGCATGAGCGACTTCTGATTACTGCCATTACTTTTACAGATCTGCCAACCCCCAAAATGGTCAAAGTGTGAGATTTTATTGTTCAGGCACGAAGTGCTCAAAATTGAGGGCCCAGAGGGCCCGAAACCACTAGGGGGTCCGGGGCATGCCCCCCCGGAAGATTTTTGATTTCTAGAAGCCTAGAAATGCGTTCTCCTGCTATTTGGGAGGCATATTTTGACACTTTTTCTGCCTCGAAATATGTGTTTTTTTCCCAGCAGCCATCACAAATTTTGGCTCAAACCACAAATGTTCCGATTAGATCGCGGTCACGTCTTCATCTGTTCATATTCATTGTATATATTGAGGCTAGCAGCGATGTTATCCCATAAAAATTGATGGATATTTAGCCCAAACCACATAACTACGATCATATTTTTTAGAAACTGATTTTATTTGTAATGCGTGAGATTTCCTTGTCATTGCGTGAGAACGTGAGACGGCGTCTGAATGCTTGAGACTCACGGCGAATGCGTGAGAGTTGACAGGTCTGCTTTTAGTCAATGACAATGACAAATACTGAAAATTGAAATATAATGACGCCTAATCATCCCAGGCTTGCATGGAGTTGATGACTAATGCACTGTTTTCTAATTATAGACAATGACGTGCAACGCGATTTGTACTCTGTACATGCACTAATATATCATTTAAAACTATGCATTATACGATTTCTTTTTTCAATATATTATATAGTGATATTCGTAATACTATCAGCATCAGACACGAAAAATCAAAAATAATTCGTAACTTGTAGTTGCACTTTGACTTGGGATAGGCGCGGAGAGTAATTGATAATTCCTTATTTGTTGAGGTTATTCAAGCTTAACTTCTTGTTAAATAGACACAGAAAGTAATGGAAAATAAACTAAAAGCGTGCAACTAATCAACCCTCAGATTTTTATAAACTATTTTCAGTGATTTACCTTGTAATAAGCTCCATTTTCACCGCAAACTTCAACCTCTAACGCGTCAGCTTCCATCTTAGAATTCTCAGAGCAACATGGGATGCGTAACTTTATCCAAATCGCCCATTGGACAGCTGCGAGACAACCAGAATGAACAAGTGCTCCAGAAACAAGTAATAGATACGTGCAGGAACCATTGTTTATTAAAGTATTGTACAATTTAATTTTAATATAAATAAGTATATGTTAACGTGTAAATATGTTTATCCGGATATATGTCAGCAATCAGTTGTATAGACAATTAATATTTATAAAGCCATAAACTTTTTATTTGGACAAAAAATACAAAACTATATACCGGTACCTGTATTGCCTATTGGTACTCTGTACTCTGTACTCTGCATTGTAATTTTTCTTCACTAAAATGGGAAACATAGCACATAACTATCACACAACTATCACACTAGCATAAGTGGTCCTGTTCGCCTGTCTTAGACAATTTACAGTACTAGACAGGGGTGAATCATGAAGGGAGGGTGCATGGGGTGCCGAAGATATGCGTGTATGGTATCCTCACATATTTTTACACATTTACAGTTGCAATCAAATGAGCTTTCACCATATAATTTACTTTTAATGTACTTTATTTATTATTTATATGACGACACCAAATTTAGTCACACTAAAAAGAAAGGCACGTACGTAGTGGCAAAAGAGCGGTCCTAACCCCTCCCATCTCGGATCTGCCCTGGATCTGTCCTTGCCATAACAATTGCATTTTTTTCGATGTTATTTTATTCGTGGTAATTTTTTGTTCTAAGTATTTTTATAAGTTTGTGATAATTATTTTTTTGTTCTAATAGAGCATAATTTTGTGGTATTAATGAAGCATAGCATTAACGTGGGATTTCGAGAACTCTCAATTTGAGTCAAAATTTCCCTTATCATTATAGGACCTACTTATGACATTCGAACAAACAACATACAGCACATATCAGAAAATTCCAAATTTCTTTTTCTCTGCCGAACAATAGCTCCGACAGCTAGTGAGCAAAATTTTTGTATGCATGCAGTAGTTGAAGCGTTTATTGAGTGCCCATGCAGTCTTGAAAAAATTGTGTTGTACAATCAGTCTGGTGTAAGAATTAATTCTATCAGACCTGTCAAAAATTTCGATATTGCATGCTCTGCCATACATGTTACTATATCTTGTAATGTTTTGTGCCAAACGCCTGAATGCCAATTTTCATCTATTTAAAACTATCAATACATATATCCAACAGGTTCGTGGGTAGCATGAGAACAGAGATATTCGACAAGGAACATATACACGCTTAGATTTATTATGTCTGCACTTGAGAATTTGCTTCTGTCCCACTTTACCTGCTTCCAGGAGGCTGCACGCGTTCTATTATAGTTATAATAGTCAAACGGATTATGCTGATTGGTCGACATTGTCATCACACTGAGGATTCTCGAATAGTTAAAGGAGGGGCTCAATGGCCCTTTTCGTACGCCGGATTCCGGCTATTTAGAGAGTATTCGTGTACGCCGACGGTGCGGTACGCCGTACGCGGGCGACGACAGATTAACGTGTTCCTACGCGTAATTGATACTATAATCGGGATTGTGTTATTTTACATCGAATCTTCCTGCCCAATTTTTAATATGCTTGATCTATTTACCCTGCTAAACTGCGAACGAGGGACTTGTCCCGCACGTAGGATCCGCGGACAGACGCGGAATCATTCGCAAATCCAGTCGTGTACCAGTCTAATGTTAATGAATGTATACACCGGAATTATGCCCTTGTCGTGGGTTGTGCCATTCTGGGACGGATTAGGGCCATTACGCGCTTTTTCCTGTGGATGAAGTGTTGAAGAAGCGCAAAATATATATACTACCAGGCGCGGATTTTGAATGGGGGCACATCTCGGCCTGCCCCCGCTTTTGAACCAAAATAAATAAAACAAATTAGACATTATTAAAAAATTGAAAAATTACAAAATTACAAATATTACCTCTTTTACTCAATTTCAATGGTTGTAAATAAGGTGAAAGATGACGGTTCAGTCAGAAATTGGGACATCATTGCACTATTTTCATGTTTAACATAAAAACCTATTCAAATTTGTCATCGTCTTCTGAACTTTCCTGCCAAAGAAAACATTCGTCAGAGTCATTACAAGCAATTTGTTTTACATTTGTCTAGAGATATATTTCTCGGCCTAGCACTAGTTATAAGTCATACTCGTATGTAACCGGTGTTTCATTAGAAGAAAAGTAACTATTTTATTTGCTTCTGTAATGGACATACAGCCACTACTCATTATTTTTTTTTTTTTTTTTTTTTTTTCTTTTTCTATTACAACATTCTTTCAAGTGTGAATATATTCGATGTTTATCACAGATATTTTTTTTTAATGCCATATTTTGCTATAGCATGCATATAGTTATTTGACATGTAATGTGCTTCTGTAATACCACAATGATTACATGTCAGAAACTATATAAGGTTTAAAACATTTCAGCTGTAAGTAATTTCTCAGGTTACATTTGACGGTCATTGCCTCCCACCCCCCGCCCATACCGAAAGGCTGGTCACGCACTGATCAAATTTAACACATAAATGTATTGCTGCAATATGAGTTAAAATACCCTCTTACAGTATGCCCCAGATTGCCCCATTTTCAAGCCTAAAGAGTGCAAAAACCCCCCAGCGGGCGTGATACAGGGGCCGGTCTAGGGGGTCGGACCCCCCCTGCTCGCGCCAGAAAAAACGCATCTGAGGGGCGTCTAAATTTCAAAATTTCTGGCCCCCCCTTCGCGTTCTCGTAAAGTTAATGGGTTACGGGCTTAGACCCCCTTGTCCAAATCCGTGTAACACGCCCCTGCCCCCCCTCACTCGCTTCGCTCGCTCAGGCTTGGCTCGTGCTGCCCTTCTCTGCCGGTTTATACCCCACATCTTCACTTACATTATTGCTCATTTGGTGCCCCCTCTTTTTGAACATTCTTGGATCCGCCCCTGCTCACTTACCAGGAGTAGCATCACACAACCAAGAAGACAGCGACAGAAGGCAAACAAATTCACAGCCAGATTGCCGACTTCCTGGCATAAAGTCCTTGTACCTTTCTTCAATTATTTGCCTCTAACAAGCATGACCATTAAGGTGTTATTTATTGCTTACCTAATAAATTAAGTGTGCCATGAATAAGTTAATAAATGTTGTTATATGCGACTATTGGTTACTGTTTTTTTTTCTTTGATTATGTATTATGTCGGGTGCTGGGCTGCATGGGTTAAATAGTATTCCAATGCCAGCCCAAATTATGGAGACTATTCAGTGCCCACTGAAAATTAGAGAGTATTCCGGTTGCCAAGGGGGGGGGGCATGCGCCC